ATTCCAAACCAGTTTTAAAGTAGCATCATTTCATAAGAAAATGTCTGGTTCTCCACCCATTTAGCTAGGTTGAATGATAATTTTAAAGAAAGAACTTGTGGCTATTTGGAATATCATCTTCCTCTAAAAAGTTAAAACTTCATTAAAATAAATTCTACTCATGGTTTGGTTTTAAATATGGAAGAGAAACAATTTCACACAGTTCCTGGTTTTTCTAGGAATGTGAAATGAGGCATTTCTATTAAGACCTGTATCATAGTGAACTCTGCAGTGATCAGATTGCCATCTGGATCCTCATTTCCAGAGTCTATTCAATATCTAAGATAAGGAAGCTCTGGGTCAATTCATTTGTAGAGATTTTATTACATACTTTTGTCCTTCAAGTTTCAGACCACAGAGCCACCTTGGTTTTTAGTTCTCGTCTGTGAACTTCAAGTATGTTAGCTTTTTCTTCAGATTTTCAAGTTTTTCATCTTGTGTTACATTTCCTTCTTTTTTTCTCATCCTCTGAATGATTCTCATCACACCCAGACTTGGATGCTGGAAGTAAACCACAAAGCACGGATGAAAGATTGGCTTCTTGTGGATACTGGCAGTACATAGGGAGGTGGCTCAGGTGCTACAGAATTGGTTTTGTGTTCTTGTGGCATGTTTGCTAAAGACAGTGTGTTGAGCACTGTTTTGTTCTCCCTCTCCCTCTGCATAAAACTCTGCAGTTCCATGAATTTATTGTGTCTTTGTGGAAGCTTTGTGTAATTTGATTCAGGTTTTCAATATGGCATTTCAATCCTAGTCTATTCCCCAAGCCTGTTACCTTGACGTAGCATTAATGGTACTCATACTTTTTCTGATTTTGTCTTTGACTACTCCCGAGGTTCTTTGTTCATTCTTGAGGTCTTTCCCCTCCATCTTCTCTGAAATCCAAAATTTGCATGTGGCTGTGATTTTAAATCTTATGTCCCAATTCATCTTGGATTTTCATCTTTTCCAATGTGGCTCAAAACTCATTGGTGTATACTTGGATTCTTTAATAATGTGAGCTGAGTTGGTTTCATATTAGGTAGAATTATCTTATTTCTGCTGTTATAACTATTAGTGTTGTTATAGTTGAATCAGGACATAGACTGGCATAAAGGGTGGAGGTTGGGGATTGGACTAACAATTTTTAACCACTTGAAGAGTTTAACTGCATCCTGATTAAATAGCTCACCTGTGCAGCGATTACATTTACACAGTACAATGGTGACATCTAGCGTCAACTGGATTAATCTCAGCTCTGCAATTTAACCTGAAATTGAAGAACAGGTGCTTCTGTTCTACTCAGAATCCTCACCTGAACATCCTGTGAAGCCAGGAATTCTTTTTTCAAACCTGTATTTTGCCTTTTAATTTTCTTAATAATTTCTCTCTTTACATTACTGAGATGTACAATTTGAGTTTTCACCACTAAAGAATAAAATAGACAAAAAAAAAATCTTGCTTGCTTTTTGTTGTTGTTGTTGTTGTTTTGTTGTTTTCTTTTCTTGCAGTGCTGGAGATCAAACCAAGGGATTCACTTATGCTAGGAAAATGCTCTACCACTGAGCTACATCCCTAGCCAGTTTACATTCTTTGTAGTCAAAATTATTTCATGGCTATTCCTAACATCAGAGGAATTTAGAAGGCAAATTTTTGCTTTGTGGCTTTCACCACAGAAAAATGGAAAGGTTGTTGTGTGTCCTATACCATATCCAGAATACATAGGTGCTTATGTACAACAATTAGTTTGAACACATATTGCAGAAGCATTGAAATGCTTTAAAGCCAGCTGTTTTAAAATTATCATTATCACTTTCTATCAGTTTAAATGTCTTCTTATTGGATGACTTGTAAATAGATCCCCTAGCACTAACACACCTCCATTCAAAGGTAAATTTTATCTTGGTACCAATAACAGTTGTAGGGGCTGGGGATTCAGCTCAGTGGCAAAGCGCCTGCCTGGCAAGCGCAAGGTCATGAGTTCGATTCCTGATACCAGAAAAAAAAACCCAAAAAACAAACAAACAAGCCAATAACAGTTGTAGTATTTTAGTGTTGCTTACACCTTCCCTTGGCTCAAGGCCCTGTTTGCAGAAAAGATGTAAACTACAGTTTACATTTCAAGTTATCCAGTGTCTCTGTTTCCCAAAGTCTCCTGGGTAAAAAGGAACAGATTCTTACAAGATAGAATGAGTGGAACTGCTTGTCTGACTCTGATTATTTCCACTTTTACTGAAGCAGTATTAACTTACAGTTTATAAAAAGCTACTATAAAATTCCTGGGACTTTCCACCAGGATACACTTCCCAAAGGAAGTATCATCAAAGTACTGTTTACATCCGGCTGGCTACATTAAAATCACCTGGGAAGCTTTCTAAAAATATGGTGCCCAGGGCTGGGGATTTAGCTCAGCGGCAAAGTGCCTGCCTGGCAAGCGCAAGGTCGTGAGTTTGGTTCCTGGTACCGGAGAAAAACCAAGAAAAAAAAATATATATATGGTGCCCAGATCCCAGAGACCCAGTATGGTACCTCTCCCTTGTGGCAGCCCTTGGCAATGTCTTTTGGTTCCTACAACTGAAAGAGGGTGTTACTGGCATCTAATCACATCTAGAGGCCAAAGGTACAACTAAACATCCCACAGTACACAAGACAGCACTCACATAGCAAAGAATTGTCCCAAATATCAATAGTGTCAATGTTAAGAGATTCTGTCCAAAGCTTTAACTCTCTAAGTATGGGTCCAGCCTGGGAATTGGGGGTTTTAACCCTCTTCAGGTGACCCTAATTTGTGACAAAGTCTGAGAACCACAGCTAAAGGCGTGTTGCTAGAGAATATTGCTTAAGCTCCTTTGAACCCTGTATCATTGAGTTTTGAGGCAGAAATTCTCCACTGTGAGTTGGTTTGGGAGTTGAGGGTGGTTGGAAGGAAGAAGAACTAGTTGCTTTTGTGAGAAAGGCTCAGTTAACCACACATGCTGGATTGGAGATATCTTCAAATACAAGTTTTGCTGTTTATTATCCACTTTGTGAGTTGGTTTTCCTGTTATGATTCAGGAGTATCATCAACCATTGTCAAACCCAGCCACCCTGAGGAGAAGGTCACTCCTGGGAGAAGCAACTTTTTGTCATGACAGCTGTAATTATCAAACGTTACTTCTTGTAGAAGATTCTCAGGAAGTGTCACGGTAGCTGCACAACTCGAGGGGTGCCATTCACATAGAATGCAATAGGATCATTGCTCCCTAGCTCCACCACACATAAAGTAAATGTTACCAGGGCCAGGTATATAGCTCAGCAGCACCATGCCTGCCTGGCAAGTGTAAGATCCTGAGTTCGATTCCTGCTACCCCCTCAAAAAAATTTTTTTAAAGTAAATGTTATCTTCACCAGATGGCCAAGAATTTTTCTTTTTTATTTTTCTTTTCAGTACATCAAATTTACTCATACAAACATTCTAAAAATGTACAATTTTTCCTTTTTAACAAACTATAATAAAACATAAAAATCTCAAAAACCTTTAGAGTATTTTTGCCAAATACAAATACTGTATCCAGTTAGCTGTATGCATGTACTCTGATGATGTTTATGTTGTCTCATAGAACTCTAGGGGAGATTATACTTTATATGTATGCTATGTATGTGCATACATATTTCACATTTTTAAATGTAAGCAACGCCGTACTGTGCACACCATCATGCAACTTGCTTTCTAACTTAATCCTCTATGTTGCCTACTGCACACATCCAGAATGTAGATGTCATTCCATTCAACAGCTGCAGAGTGTTACATTATAACCTGAAAGAATAGTTACCTATTAAATGAATAGATTGGACATAGACATTTCCTGAATCCCACAACATGACACTAACAATGCAAAAAAAGTTGAAAAGCCACAAGGACTAGAAAATGAAAATGAAGGTGAAAATAGACAAGAGGTGCCAACACACTTTGTGAAGATGGAAAGGGACAGAGAAATGGTAACCAGAAAGCCTTTCATGGGAGTGAGTGGGTAGGAGGGCAGCTACAATGGTGGAATAATACCACAAGGCAAACTGATCACCCTGGAGAAAGGCTTAGGAATCAAAAGTTAGGGCCGGGAATATAGCTCAGTGGCACAAGTGCCCGCCTGGCAAGCACAAGGTCCTGAGTTTGATTCTTGGTACCAAAAAAAAAAAAAAAGGAAAAAAAAAAAAAAAAAAAAAAAAAGGAATCAAGGGTCAGGTAGTATTTCACATGGCAGAGGTGAGCCTTGGAGCAGATGCTCAAGGAGCAACTGGACTCACAAGTTCCACCCCCCATGGGTACAGAGCCCCAACTCTTCTCTCCTCAAACCCTGTAACACAGGATCTATTCTTGGGGAGGATGGGGGAATAGCAGAAGACCAGGCTGAGGCAATGGATTTTTAAAAAGACCCAGTGGAATTCCATATACTGAACACCCAAATGTCACAATCTTAACCATAATCTCCAGATCCATTCTCTCACCTGGATCTCAAATGTTATCAGCTTATAACCTCTGCATCAGAGAATTCTAGATAAACCTACAAATGCCTGGGATAAGGCTGTGGTTACAAAAATTAAAAAGAAGGTAGCAATCTCACAAATTCTTCTTTACCACAGAGGACTGGATGTGATTCTAAGATACCAAATATGGCCGTTCCTATGAGTGGCACAAATGTAATAGAAATAACAAGGAAGGGGATGGAACCATCTAGAAATAACAATCAAGGGTATAGGACAATTATTTCGTATTTAAAGTGGGGATACAAGAGACAAGGGGAAGGAAGCACTAGGGAGCTGCCAGAGGATATCAGACCGAGACAGAAAAGAATAAGAGATGACTGGGAGAAGCAACCGGGATGTCTACTTCTTAATTCCCATCAAGGAAATGGGGGAGGGGAGCTTGAGAGAATCATCCTGGGGCAGAGGATCAGAAGCAGATAACTGATTCAGCAGACATCTCGTGTGTTCCTGCCGCACACCGGATTCTGTCAGGGAACAGGAATACAGGAGCAAGCTGTCCAAGGAACCAGCCATTTTTTGGGGCAGTTTGCCGATCATGTTGGTCCTTGAGGGTCCTGAAACTCAGTTTAGTCCTTTCACAGCTTGCTGCTGAGCTACCGCTTCATCAGCTTCTCTGCTTTGTCATCCTCTCAGCTTCTTGCAGCGTGACACAGAAGTGACTTTTTCAGAGCACTACTGCCAAAGAAGATCTGTGAGAATCATCACCCAACATCCATCCTGGTTGTCCTGGCAAACCAACAGACGAGCAAGAAAGTCCCCACTGCGTGCAAGGGGATCCTTTTATATCCAAATTTCATCATGGAGGTTTGACATCTTATTACTTACAGGAGTCTTCAAAATAAGGAGGGCTAATTCAGCAGGTAGGAAAGAACAACAGTTTTGTGTTTTAAGTTGTAGTTTCAATCTGGGCAGACTCTCCAGCCACTGCGGGAAGTGTTGCAGTTGGTTTACAGGGGAAAGAATTTAATATAGGACACACAATTTACAGGGTTATTTTGTAATATACACCCAAACAGTCAAATGCAAAAGAGTGTGGGAGATCTGTCCACAAATTAGAGACCCAAAGAATCCAGCTGAGGGCCTGGATGCCGTGGCAATGTCCTGCACGAGTCCAGCTGGAGACCTAGGGCCCACAGCAATGTCCTCCATGAGTCCAGCTGAAGACCTAGAGCCCACAACAATGTCCCAGATAAGTCTGTTTCACAGATCTGTGCTGGTGGAAGCTAGAAAGTCTGCACCAGTGGGATAAAGGATCTATGCCAGCAGGCTGAGGGATCTGCACTGGAGCCAGAAAGCAATGTTCAAAGTAATGACCAGAGTTCCTCCGAAGAGAACTGCAGCCATCCTCAGCAACAGCGAAGTCCCAAGCTCCTCCAATGATGAGAACAGCCGAGTTCATATCGGGAAAGCTCGCAGGACAAGCTTCTCCAGGAGAATCAACAGCACACCATCTTCCTTTCCAGCTCTTTCTTATGCTGTTGGTGATAATCCTCAGGTGGGCCCTCCACATCCAGCACCACACTGGTTCGGTTCGGCTGGGTGTTACAAGATGACCACCAGTTATCAATCCAACATCCGAAGTTTTTTTTCAGTTTTTTAGTTTTCCTTTTCTAGAAAGGAGCAAATCCCTTGAGCCCCTGCAGTCTCTGGGCCCAGTTCATAGCATGACCATGAGGGAAGATATTAGTGGTTTGGGCGGGATCTTCCTGGTAACTCACACACAAAGCCAGGGTCTGCACACTGTTTTTCAGTTTGTTTTCTAAAAACTAGATGCCCATGTCCAGCAAGCACATGAAAAAATGCTCAATGTCATTAAGAAATTAAATCATAATCACAATGAGATACTCTTAATTACCATATGTTTTTAAATGGGAAATAAGAGTTGTTGAGGATGTGGGGAAATTAGAATTCTTCTTGCACATTGCTGGTGAATATGTAAAATAGTGCAGTCACTAAAAAAAGCTTGGCAGTTCCTCAAAAAGTTAAGCAAAGAATTACCAGCAATTTTACTGCTAAAAATATTTCCCCAATGCATTGAAAATAGGTACTGAAACAAGTAGTATATTACTGCTCATCATAACACTAGTCAGAATAGCCAAAGCCAACAAAAAGTGTACAATTATGAATGAATAAACATAATAGTGATATAATTAAATATTATTTAGCCACAGAAAGGGATGAAGTAATGATATGTGCTGCAATTTGGATGAACCTTGAAAACATTCTGCTACATGAAAGAAACTACACACAAAAGATTTCCATTTTGTGCCTCCCATGATACTAATCACGTGAAACATCAGGAATAAATTTACTCATAGAGACAGAAAACAGGTAAGTGTTTCCAAGAGAGGGCCTAGCAGGAGAGATGAGTGGAGAGGCTACTTTATGGGTACAGAATTCCCTTTTAGGGTAAAGAAAATGTTGTGGAAACAGAGGTTATAGTTACACAACATTGTAAATGTACTAAATACTGATGAACTGTACTTTGAACTGGTTAATGTTTAATTTTATAAGGTGCGAATTTTACTCAGTAAAAAAAAATTCCATAAAAAAAAACCTAGATGGCATTTTAATCCGTTGTTAGCAAATATTTAATATTTTAACCTAAAGGTAAATAGCTACAAATGAAGTAATTTAAAATAAAATGGTTTAAAATGAAACTGTTACATCATTCTTTTAAGTATATCCATACTTTTTTCATTTTTTATGAAGTTTATTGGTACAATTTAGATAAACATAATGATCACATTCTTCATAGGAAATTTATATCTGTACGTGATACACTGCTGCAGAATTCAAGAGATCAGAGAGACTAAGGGGAAACCGGAGCATTTTATTTGAAGGTTTTACACAATGGCACAGTGGCTCAGTTTGACCTTTCTGGCTGAGGGAGCCCGAGAGGAAAGGCTCCAGCTTTAACACATTTTGCTTAGGGGACTGGTCTTTCCAGTGGAGAGAAACTGGGGGAGGGGGTGCAAGCGAGGGTAGAAACAACAACAACAAAAAATCAATCAAAAGTAATTAATAACTTAGCCTTGAAAGAAGACAGAGCTTTATGACTCTTGTGAGAACAGAATGTCATAAACTCTGTTTACAGGTCGAGTTGCCAATCTTACCTGCACCAGAACTGCCGTAATGAAGGGGGCAGTTCTAGGGGAATTGTTCAAGGCTGGGAAAGCTTGTTTTCCTTTAAGAGCAGAATATATTTATTGAGGGAAAGAAAGCATCTGTCCAAGAGAGGGACAGAAAGGGCGTCCGAGTGGGTTACTCCAGAGACTCTGTCTTTTCTAGGGACTTTTATAGAGCAAAACCACTAGGTGAGGTGGATCCAAGGTAGGGGAAAATGGACAAAACTATGGTCAGCCAATAAGAATTGTTCAGGGGCACGCCGGTAATCCCAGCACTCGGGAGGCTGAGGCAGGAGGATCGTTGTGAGTTCAAGACCAGCCTGGGCTACAAAGTGAGCTCAAGGCCAGCCTGCACTGCATAGTGAGACACTGTCTCAAAAAGACAAAAAAAAAAAAAAGAATTGTTCAAGTAAAATTGATTAAACTGGGATCAAACGGGGAAGCCAGTCTCGTAGCAAGTGGGCGTGAACACAGAACAGAGGCTCTTCCTGTAAGGGGTTGGGCCAGGGACTCTTCAAGGTAATCGCTACTTATTTATAATGTCAGTCCCTGAGGTCCATCCCTTGGGAGGTATGTGGGTGTATTTATTTAGTCTTTGGTCTTGAGATCTGGCCCAAAGCAAGTACAACCTCTCCATTTGTAAGGTATCTTGTCTTCCGTATTTGTTCCTTCGAGGGCCTGGCCCTGTCTGACTGCCTATGATATTTCTATGTAACTCAGCTGCCTATAACATTCCCCCCTCTGATGAAGTAACTGAACTGCCGCGAGGGAGTAACAGGCGATGATTGCTCTGGCCTCTTCAGGCTGAAAGGGGTCATAGTTGTAGATCGGCAGTCAGAGATACTCTTAAGAGGGTCTATCTAAAAGCCCTCGACAGACCCCAGGCATTTTCATCTTGGGTAGGCATATAGCTTTACATCTGGAGGAGACAAAGCCAAAGAAACAATTAAGTATGCATGGGCTAAATAATAAGATCAACAGGATTATTATGAATATAATCAACAAAGATTTCCACCAAGAGGAAACGGTAATGGCTTTCCATAGACGGAATAAGGTCAGAGCTATGAGCTCCACTAGTTAAGCACTAGTACCGGGTGTAAGTGAGGACCTTTTGAGAGTCTGATGTAAAGTCACCACTGCATATCCTGCTTTCCTTGTCCCATTTTCTACGAAGGAGCTGCCATCACAGAAAAGGGTCAAATCGGGGTTAGTAAGGGGTATGTCTAATAAGACTTCTTTAACTGCATATGTATGGAGAATTACCTGTTCACAATCATGTCTGTCAGCCTCAATTTCCTCCTTTTCTGGCAAAAAGATAGCAGGGTTTAAAAAGGAACATGTCTTTATTTGAATGGCTGATCCTTCTAGAAGTAGAGCGTGGTATTTAAGTTGGCTGTCTGAGAGCCAGAGGCTCCCTTTGTACAAAGGAAGTCCTGCCACATTGTGAGGCGTGTATACAGTGAGATCTTTTCCTAAAGT